TCGTGCGCACATTAGCTTCAGGGCAGTTGGGAGGTTGTTTAACTGAAGCGCGACATCTTCGTTGCCATTTTCTTTGTCGAATCAAGCCAAAAACACGCAATGCACAAAAGATTTTGGACGATCTGGGAATCGAACCCAGGACCTACCGCATGCTAAGCGGTCATTATACCACTAAACCAATCGCCCAACCTGTGATGTAATTCGAGGTGGATTCTGTCATTATGTAGCTGAGCGCTGCCACGGCAAGCTGCTCGCCAACTACACAGCAACAACGTCCATTGTATGCATCGTCACAGCCTCGAGGCGAGTGTCACGACAAGTAGTACGCGGCAAGTTTATTTGGCTTCGTCGGATGCGTGCGGCTCCCGGAAAGGTTAATGGCTAAACAGAGCCAGGCACCCATGCGATACCTAGGCTGGTTACACTCAATTACCGGACGATCACACTGTAAAGATATTATTTGTATTGTTGCTCTGTTGGCTATCTGTTGGCCATGACTCTCGGTGAGCCGTGCTGACCCCACAACCTTTTCTATGCCAGCATGAGGAATATCCAGCCCCAGCTCCGACCACGTCGTGGCTCTAAAACAAACGTATGCCGTTGCTATGGGTTGCTTTAGGGAAAAGCTTCCCAACGGCATCGACTTGCTGATCAAGGCCCCGGGGTGTTTCGCATTGTTCAGTGATCTTATCGCTCCCAAACGCTGCTTCTGTGCCCGAATTGATCTTCTTCCTGCTCTCGAGCATATATCTAACGTACTCATTTCTGAGCTCGTCATGTCGAGTCGAGCCAACACCTTGGTCCTTGTCGTAGAAATAAAGATGCCGTCGGTGTTGGCTACTCTTCCTCTCAACAATCTCACCAAAGGTCCCCCGACCAAGCCGTATGGGCTCGCCATATCGAGTCGTCGAGACCTATAAGTTGCCGAGCTCATGTAGCCATACGCCAGCTATATACATATTCGCCAGAATACTCCCACTACAGCCAGTGGCCCTTTTACGAGGCCATCGATATTCCTGGTGACGGAATCGGCGGGCGTACACCTCTCTGAACTGTACCCAAATGCCAAGCTGTTGTCAGGAAGGTGATGTTTGGCCTTTTTAGAGCCTTGGCATTCGAAGCAGTTTCCTGCGATGTGATTCTTGGGAATAGTCACGACGAACGAATCTTGGTCGCGATCGTTTGGCCGCCTAGCTTGAGAGGCCCAGAACGCCAAGTCAACGCTGGTCCGGCCGCTGATGCAGTATCGGCTGCTTTCTATAGGGGCGACGCCAGCGAGCGGAGGCTGCTGGGAAAGCCAACGGGCGAACACTTGGTCCTCAGTGTCGTCCGAGCCACATACACCCAAGGCGCTGCTTGGTTCCTTATCGGCCCCGGAGATGATATAGATGCACGCAGGCATGCCTCTCTACTCCGGCCCGTTCAAGCGAAGCCGGCTAGGAACACTGACGGCCCTTCGACGGGGAAACGATGAACGAGTTGTGACCCTGCGATGAATGCGATTTGACAAGCTGTAGTTGGTGCATCGATTCCATCACGCCTTCCATGGGGCTTCGATCCTGGGTCTACGTCTGCCGTCTTGGAGGGGCTAGTACAACGCTCAGAGATGTGAGGGAGGCGCAGCTGAGATGCGCGGATCCCATGATCGACGTGGTATGAAGACGGTCCCGGGGACGGTCTTCGTCTTTGTAGAGATGAGGCGCGAGGATTCTCACCCTCGCAAGGGGCCCTTTGTCGAAATGACGGAACTCGCGGTAATAAGCCCGTCAAAGTGCCTTCCGCGAGCGGTGCAGACAATCATAGTGACTGTCTTTACCTAGCGCCTGATCTCGATGAGTCGTACGTCTGTAGCGTTCCTAGTTACAGGCCTGTTGACTTGCAGGGCCCGGGAAGAACAGCCGCGAGTCAGCTCTTATAAAGAGTTGTTTATCTTGGAGTTAGCCACAGTAACGGGGTTACGACTATCATAAACGCTTAGTTGTGCCTGTGATATCTTTAGCTAAGGCGTTTTCTGGGATGGCTATGGCGTGGGATTATCTCGACCGCGTTTTGCTCTGTTCGCGGGAAGACTTATTCCTAACGTCAAGGAATCCTGACCACGCGACATCCGTTCACGAAGGCTTGTGACCTGGTGATATGTTGTCCACTAATATCTAGTACTATGGCCAGGTAGAATAGTTGCGGGATGACAACGAGTCGAACGCCCGCGGGTCTTGGTGGTGAATGCGGTGGCGGGCCCGTGGCCGGATGCAACGTATAAGTGAGGAAAGGCCAATCAGTCTATTATACACTACGAGAGATGTGTGCTTAATGGTGTGATGCTGTGTGAGAAGCCGATATGGGGGGAGGTCTCCATGGGTTATATACCTGGGCTGGCCAGGATGAAGTCCCATGGACCCTCTCATTTCTCAAGTGAGATGTGAAAATGTGTATGAGAAGGTGCCACGCGGCCACGTTTGGCAAGTGAGTGTCAAGTATTTGTTGGGTACGGCGACGAGCTAATCACTCTGCAGCTTTCTCATAAACACGCCTACCCTTGAGTCCTAATCATTACGCTGCTATGTCTTCACCCCGATAATGAGCACCTTTGACTAAATAAAGCTAACTGATGCCGTCTAGATCGCCAAACTTGAATACATACGACCGGAATAGACGAGACAAATGAAGTACACACATAATCGCACACGGTTTTCACAAGAAACAAGTTTTATTATCAACGCCCACACACCTATCTAACCACGGTTGGTCTCAATTACGGTGGTCGCGACGGCGCGACGGCACGACGTTTACTGCACGATGTCACGCCCACAGTGGCCTCCCTACGACGGCAAAACGCCCACGACGGCACGACGCCCATGACGGTCTACTCTACGGTGTTAGGAACGCCTACAAGGGAATCCTCTACCACGCCACGGTCTAGTCCACGATTGTGGCCCCTTCATCTTCACCCTCAACTTCTTCGACGTCTTCGACTTCTTCGTCTTGTATACCCAGGCGTAGACACACCCTCATTGTGATATCGTCGAGCCTCTGCCATTGAAGCTCTTCGGCAGTGACCGCAGTGTGCTGCAATCGCAGACTATCCGTCTTGCTCTTCATGACCTTCTTCAGCTCGGTCTCCCACTGCTTCAGCAGTCTGTCCAGCGTAAGCTTGTGCTCGTCGTATTCACGAAACAGCTTCACACTATCCCCCCTCGCGCTGTCAATCGCCTTGAGGCTGTCCAGAAACACGCGTCTCTGCTCAAGGTCGGCGAGGGAAAGCTGAATGTTTCTGCTGAAATAGGGCCGCACACACAACACTTCGAATTCCATGTGACGCATGGTTGAGGTCCCGTCTTTGCCCCTTTGCCCGCCGCCTTCGGCCACGTTCAAGCCATCCTGTAAATAGTTGGATCGAGCCAATGAGATGACGAGCCTTTCTGCTATGGGCACAATCCGGGCTCCCAGGTCTTAAGTATCACTCTCGACACCGTCTTGGGCACCAGCCCAGAAGCCTTGATGGCCGAAAGAAGAAGTATCAACGGCGTATTGATCGAGGTCGGGTCCAGTGTGCGCTTGCCTCCAAGGGCATTGTTGGCCGCGTAAACGGGCACCCGGGTACCAAGGTCACCGGAGCATCCGACATACTGCATGCCTTGGATCTGATGCACACTGAATTGACGAGGGTCCGTAGCCGCACGCTGTCTGCGCTAGAGCGCCTTCACCAAGTTATTAGCCACAAACAAGTCGGCAGAGTTGCTAATCAGACGTGTCTTGTTGGTCGCCGAGGTCCCAAATGCATCATAAAAGGCATATGCCTTCTTGAAGAGCATCCTCTCAGCAATTTCAGCCTTCTGACCATGTAGAGTTCGCAAGTTGATCCTGTATGCCTTGATATAATCCTTCAATTCGGTGATGACGCGGGTTATCTCGTCGTAACCGAGGAACTTCCCACCTCGATTTTCAATGTATACGTCAATGGCATAGATGCCCTGTCCTTTTGCCGGGTAGCAACTCGCGTCTCGTGAGTTCACAGTGTCAAATGCTAGGGTGCCCTGGATCAGAGACCTCAGCAGCTTCCGCGGAATCGCATGCAGGAGCATCAACGAATTCCTGCCATGCCTGAAGTCGTGGTCGAGCTGGTCAAACGTGCTGTTCTGCGAAGGAGTAAGCTGCCAGATATCTTTGGCAATGTCTGGGAACATGAGAGATATCTTATAGAGTGTCTTGATCACAGCAAGAGATTCAAGATCACTGCCGTCTGCGGCTCATGTGGGCATAAGCACCACTATCTCTGCGACAGTCTGATCCCGGATGAGTCAGAATTTGTTTTGGGCTGTCCATTATGCAACACAACTGCTCATAACTGGGATGACTGCAAGCGCTCTGGAGAGCTCGGTTGGGTGCACCAGTACGAGATCGTGTTCTACCGCTGCATCAACATGCCCCCCATCCGCTCCCGGAAGCCTTGGATCATGTGGGAGAAGGAAATAATTGATCAGGGACTCTCATCTTGGGACCTTCAGGGAGTGTATCCTTGGACTTTGGCTTTTGTCGAGGAATTGAAGCAGTCGGAGCGTTTCTTGGTTAACTTCGACCACAAGCTTTGGAAGAAGGAGAGAGAAAAGTTGTCCAAGGATCCGGCAACACACCGCTACAGTGCTGACCAGTTCATCGACTACGCCCCATTGTTAGAGGAAAGGAGTGCCTCCAGTGAGGATAATATCCGCAACAGCAGAAACACGTTGCAGATCGGTTTTAATGCGGCGGTCCACAACACCCAGACGTCGCAGGGCGTTGCGAACGCGGTCGCCACGCCCCCGTTGGCTCCAAACGAGAACAATTCAAAGGGCACACTGGTGTCTCCGTCTGGTGCCACGGATCTTGACGTCGCGTAGGGCAACCCGTCGGTTGACGTTGTGACCCCGACGCCGACCATGGCTGAAGGAGGCCTTTCCACTGGGATCAAAAAGCTGAAAGTTCTCCCTGCCCCCCTGGCTCAGAGAGACTCCGCTTTCGATATGCCTTCCGTGACGAACGTGTCCCCCGTGGCGCAAGACACACACGCAAAGGCCTCATTCTATGGGGATTTGATAGACTACACCGATGACGAACGTGAGCATGCATTGACGACGGCGTTGAAGTTGTCAGACCTTAAGTTACGAAGAAGAAGTCGAAAAATTCGAATAAAAAGTCCTTAGACAAGACGTTACCAGACGATACAACGGAGGACGACACGTCAGAAGGCGAGGAGTCAGAGAGCGGCAAGTCAGCGGACGAGGAGTCACTGACCGGGACTGCGATTGCGAGAAGCCCCTTGTGAGAAGACATGGATCAATTCTTTCGGAGGCTTGGGTGGCATTGGGCATATGGGGAGCCCGCTGAGAGGCATGGATGAGCACGCCAAGGGGCATGAGTGAGCCCCCCGACTGGGAGGCGTGGATAGGCATTCACCGGGTGGGTAGTGCAATCGATTGAATTTCCATTACGGAATACTTCTCCTGTGAAATGTGCTTTCGTTGCCCGTGACCTAGTTGAATTTGTCGTAGTCTACCCGGCGGCTGCTCGGATGCTCGAGTCGGCGGCTGTCAGAAACAATGGGGCCGGACCGATCCGAGGTGACTACACAGCACACGGAACCACCGAAGTGGGGGCCGGACCTTGCTCTCCATTCACAAGGAGGCAAGACAAAGCACACTACCTCACCAATTCATCTTTTTCGCCTTTACACAAACACACAACCGCCTTTTTGTACGTATCCAAAACTCTTCACTGGACCTGTTGCTAACACCACTAGAAAACGTCGTCGCAAAATTCCGATTCATCGAGACAGAGAGACCGCGGCGACCGCGCCAGCAGTCGAGAATTCGAACAGACGATCTCATCGGCGATGGGGAACAGAGGCGCGAGCGATCCCGCTCACCATTTCCAACCAACAAATGACGTCGGCGCAAGACCTCGAGCAGGCCCGCCTTTGGCTGACTCGACGTCGGTCTGGAATAGGGAACCACCGGGTTCAGAGTGACAAAGGACGCTGACCATCACGGCGCGATTGTTAACCTTACTCGATCCGACGAGGTATTTGTGACGAGTGGCCCGCGCGATCAGCTTCACGCCATGATTGATAGGGTGCTTGGCGAGAACGATGGTCAACACATGACTGGCATCCTGAAAATGCGTTCAGCGGCCGGATAGCGGCCGGATCATCGGCAGAACCGCGGGTTCCGGGCCGTGTGTCTCAGAGATTCCAACACGCGAGACTGTGAAATTTGGTGGAGACAGAATGTGGGAAAGGGAGTCAACGCCCGACATCAGGCCCCGCGACGTTTGAGAAGATCGTTCATTCGGAGCAAGTGTCCCAGCTCCTGTGACAGAAGCCCGCCCGCCTGTTGTTTGTTCGCGCCGTCTCGCGACCAGGAAAGAAGTGGGTGTATGAGGACGACGGCAAGGAGGCTGATCGTAGCTTCATCCGCGTCGCACGAGAGGCGGGGTCAGGTCCGCTGAACTTGGGGCATGAGATCCAGAAGCGAGCCGTGGTCAACCAGCTATTCGGTGATTTGGTCAAACGCCTGCTCGTGCGCCCGTCGAGTTTTATCCGGATCGAGTACCCACCCGGCCGCCGACGAAAGGCAGACGTTGGACTCGATCTAGACTTTCCAGGTTGAGGCCGCGTCCTCTGAACAAGTCCCGTTCGTCCTGATTGCCGCTGTGTGTTACAGGAACGAGTCGACACCGGTTAGAATCCGCCTCTTCACTGGCCGAGGTGTTGAATTCCCCCCTCATTACAAGGCAACCTATAATGGTTCCGACTGGGAGATTGGCGCCGTTGGTCACACATACTTTATGCTCCATGTGCAGAGTAATATCCAGGTCACCAAGACCATGCCGCACATGCACAACATCATCACTGGTCGCGTTTCTGGCACGCATAAGCATGTGGTGGGAGACGATAAAAGGCACAGATTACCCAGGAATGAAGAGCACCACTTGGTGGTTGCTGAGCGCCGCAGGGCTGAGTGAGCGGCAACAGTCGCAGGTCATTATAGACATGACATGGAAGGAAAAGACGACACCGGTCGTAAGGCATCATTGATGTAAATGAGAGGCGACAACGGTCGTACGTGATTTGAAGGAGGTGGTGATGGTTGCAGGTCATCATAGACGCAACGTGGGAGGAACAGACGACAACAGTCGTAGGGCATTATTGCTATGAATGAGAGGTGACAACGGCCACATGGGATTTGGGAAGGCGACAACAGTCGCGAGGATACTCAATGCATTGGTTTTGGTGCAAAAATGTGCGATTGTTGAGAGATTGGCCCAGTGACATTGTCGATAAAATGTTCCTGACATCGAAGTCAGCAATAGCTGGCTGCATCAACTTTAGACCTAGCGATGTGGGGTTTCCTGGTAAGTATTCTACGTCACGACCGACCACCTTAGAATCAATCGGCTGCAGTCTACGAGACTTACTGCTATCGTGTCGATTGATGAGTGTGAATCAAATGTCGAACTCGAGTGTTAGTTTATTTCCAATAGACAAGGCAAGTGAGACCTGCATGCCGCACTTACTTACTACAACATGATGTGCCGCCTTGTACTCGCCGATAGACAGCAGCGAGGCATGACGACAAAACGGGGGGTTGCAAAAAGAAAAAACTCACCGGGGCATCACATAAACAAGATACACCCGGCACGTTTTAACCCCGGACCAACCAAAGTGCTGCAAACGGATATATACGATAACCGACTAATGACTAGGTATCTATTTACAGCCTGCGCAGGTCGGCACACATTACCACGCTGGACCCTCGGACGCAGTGATTTTAATATTGTTTTTTTTTGTTCTCTCGTTCTCATGTTCTTACTCTATTCGCTGTATCTGCGACATTGCAGGCAAAAAGGGGACCCCTTGTCTGAAAACGCCCTTGCGCGAACACACACAGGCACCTCAGCTTGACAGGCCGGGGGAAGAAAAAAGGACCGAGGTGAAGAGGCCACGCCTCAGACTGCAAAAATATACAAGGAAGCCCGGCCTATATTCCTTCCCCCCAGGGTATCGCCGTTTTTTCCCAGCCACTTTCCAACTCCTCGCATATCGTGAAAAGACGCGATTGTGATGCTTCCCACCATCCAGCTCTTCGCCCCATGTATAGATCCTCAACACAGATACAAGATATTAAAAAATAAAAATAAAAATGGACCCGCACCAGCCGTGTCCGCCCGCGACGGAGCAGGATACACGGTGGCGCCGAGTGCGTTTGATAATAGGGTGCCGACGAGCCGACCTACATCGATCGACCCGCGGTAGAAGGGTATTTGTAGACAAAAAGACAAAAAAAGAAAGAAATCTCTCGAGCAGATGGGGCTCGTGGCCGAGGGGGCGTGCCCTCTCTAAATGCCGTCGGTGGATACCGGGCAACCGCCTAGCATCTTGTTCAAACAGGATCCTCCAGAAGGGTATCGAAGCGTAAAATGGTGACAGATATGGAAATGGCGTCTATGTCGTCAATCAGTTCCAGCCGAGAGAGTTCTCAGCGGCAACGGGGGCCGAGATGTAGGCCGTCCTAGCGGAGTTGCCGGGCCCGCTTCCCCTCGTACGACCGCTGCCGTGGCTTTCGCGGCCACCGGCGGCTCCGTAGTTGGAGAAGTCCTGGCTCATCAGGGCACCGCCCATCATGGGCGGGCTGCCAGCACCAGTGTAGCGCATCTCGGATGAGGTGAGGGAGCTGGCGCGGCGGTGGGCCTGCTTCTTCTGCTTGTAGCGGCGGGCAATAATGAACATGGCAGCACCGTACGCAGCAGCAACACCCACAGCCCCGATACCGATGGCGGCGGCAGTACCTTTTTGAATGGGAGACTGGTTGGAGCCGTCGTTACCGGTGCCGAAGGGGTCATTGGGGTTGTTGGGGGTGGAGGTAGACGACGATCCGTCTCCGCCCGTGGAAGTGCCGTCATCCTCCTGGCCAGGAATGATCTCAATGGCAGGGTTGATATTCTGAGTGAGGTTGTAGACAAGCTGATCGGGGTTGTTGTAGATGGCCGAGTTGGGAATCTTGATGTCCATGCGCAGGGTGTCGACCATGCTCTTGGGGTAGTAGAACTTGGCGAGCGTGGTGATGTAGCCGAGAGTCTGGGACGTGTCGTAAGGGACGAGCTTGGTCATCTGGATCTGGCTAATGTCCAGACCAGCAGCATCGGCCAAAGCCTTGGGCAGGCAGGTGAAGATCTGAGCAGCAGCGTTGGGGTTCTTGCTGACGTGCTGGTAGTTCTCACCGTGCAGGAAACCAATCTGGAGGAGAATGGTGTCCTTGGGCTGCGCGACGTTCGGGTCCGGGCCGCTAATGACCTTGGGAAGGTCAGAGGGCAGGGGAATGGTCGACGTCGGGGCAAGGGCCTCTGTGGGCGTGCTGAGCGAAGTGGACTGCTCGACAATGATGGTGCTGGGCAACCAAGACTCCGAGTCAGTGATGGTGGCCGTGGCAGGGATGCTCGTGATGATGGGAGTCGTCGTAGGCGGCGGCACAGTGACAGTAGGCGTGGTCTCGATCAAGGTCTCTGAGAGAACAGTGGTGTTCACGGGAAGAGTGGTGGTCGCGGCAGGCTCAGTAGTCAGAGACTCAGTAGTAGTGGGGACGACGTTGGTGGCCGTGGCGGTCTCGTTGGCGACGGAGGTCGACGAGAGGGTGGAAGGTGTTACCGTGGGTGCCACAGTCAAGCTGTCCGTCTGAGTCGAGTTGCTGATGGTGGTGGAAGCCGTAGGTAGCTGAGACAAGGTCGAAAGCTGCGTGGTAGTCGGGAATGTCTCAGTAGAGGTAGTGTTCACGGGGATCTCAACAGAGCCGGTAGCCGTGGTCGTCGGCACAGGGATGGCAGTGCTGTCAGTGATGGTGACCGGAGCGCTGGTGGTAGTCTGTCCGGCGGGGACCTCGGTCGAGGTGGCGTTGACAACATCGGAAGCGGGCAGAGCGGTCGTGGAGACAGACACGGGGACCTCGGTGGAGGAGGTGATGTTGACGGCGGGCTCGCTGCTCACAACGGGGAGGCTGCTGCTGGTGGGCTCTGTAGAAATCTCAACAGAGGTCGTGGCGTTCGCGACGGGCTCAGTGGGTGCCGGGAGCGAGGTGGTGGGCACGCCAGAGGCCTCAGCGGAGGAGGTGACGTTGGCAACAGGCTCAGTCGGGATGGGAAGTCTCGTCGAGGTCGGGTCCGTGGGTGCCGGGAGCGCGGTAGGCGTTGGGATGACAACATCGGACGTCGAGGCAACAGGGACCTCGGACGACGTCGCGTTGGCGATAGGCTCGGTGAGGTTCGTGGGAACGGCAACCTGGCTGGAGACGAAGGAGACAATGGGGTCCAGCGGGTTGGTGGGCTTGCTACTCTCAGAGACGGCGGCAGATGTGGTCTCAGTGGAGGCACCAGAGGTCACCTGAACGGCGGCAGAAGTGGTGGTCTCAACGGGAAGGACGACGGAGCTCTGGGATGACGAAACGACGGGCTCGGTCGCGTTGACGTTGGGAACCGCGCTGGTAGTCTCGGGGTTCGCAGCCACTGAAGAATGCTGAGCTTGCTCGGCAGAGGTGGTAGCCTGGGTGCTGGAAGTCTCGGACACGACGCCGGTGGGAGCCAGGAGGATACCAGAAGAAGATGCGGCCGTGGTAGCCTCGCTCGATGCAGCCTGGGCGCTCGTGGCAGCTTGCGTCGAAGAAACGGCCTCGGCGGTCGAGTTGGTGACCTCGACGTTGGTGGGAGCAGCGGAGCTAGGGACGGCCTCGGTGGTAGGCACGGCAGACGACGCCTCGGCGGTAGTGGTTGCCTGGGCAGAGGTGGCAGCTGCCGAGGATTGAACGGCCTCCGTGGTGGAAGCCTGCGCAGATGACTGAGCGGCTTCAGAGGTGGTCGCAGCAGCAGAAGACTGGGCAGCCTCGGAAGTGGTGGCGGCAGCAGATGACTGAGCGGCCTCGGAGGTGCTGGCAGCAGCAGACGTCTGAACGGACTCAACAGCGGTGGTCGCGGCCGCGGAGGATTGAACAGCCTCGGAAGAGGTCGCGGCGGCGCTCGACTGAACGGCGGCAGTGGTGGTCTCGGGGGTCGTCGCTGTGGGCTGGGTGGTTGCGGCAGCCTGCGAGGTGGAGGCGGCTTCGCTGGAAACTGTCGAGGTTTCGCTGGTCGTCGGCAGAACGGTAACCGGGGGCAGAGTAGATGTGGGCACGGCGGAGCTTGTCGTCTCAGTCGTCTCTGTCGGGTCGAAGATGACGGTGCTCGAAATGATCACAGTCGTCACTCTCCCATCGGGGAGGGTCGAGACTGTGGTGGAGATTGTCGTCGGGGGTGCGGATTCGGGGGCCGAGGAGATTGTGGAAGTCGGCAACGGCGTGGGAACGGTCGACGATGAGCCAAAGAGAGAGTCCGAAAGGCTGGTGAGGATGTCACCAAATGTCGAGCTGATGGAGGCCGATGCGGTGGACTGGAAAGTGGTGCTCTCGGGGGCCGGAGGGAACGTCTCTTGTCTCGTACTCGTCGAATTCACAAACTGTCGTTTAACGTGACGCGGAAAGTAAATCTTGGGTCGTTCCTGTTCGGCGCAGGCAGTAGAGGCCAGGCCGAGGGCGGCGGCCAGAAGAGCAGTCTTTGCGTGCATGGTTTCGTTTCCCGATTATCGTATATTCAATTGAAGGTCTTTAGCGATTGTAATGATACCAATATTGGTGTTTAGTAGATGGAGGTCTCCATTCCGTGTTAGTAAGTGCTTCGATGCTCGCAAGACTCCTTGGCAACTCACTTTGTCAGGGTGTTATAGAACGAATGTACTTGACAAGGAATTGTCAATGAGCGTGATGGCGTTTGGGTTTTTGGGTGTGTGAAATGAGTGACTCGACGAGATATCGTCGGATTGAATTGGGCGAGGACGTCTATTGATCCGTCACGTCGGCTGAGATTATGGCAGTTCCCGTTGTCGAATGCATGGGGAAACTGGCAGGTTGTCGGCGCGGAACCTCGACGACGATCTTCAAATGCGTCCAAAGCACATAAGGGGGGCGGTTAGATCGGCTCGACGGCAAAAAAAGACCCCTTTCACGGCGTGAGGAGGCGCAGGTTGAGAATCGGAGAGGAGGTTCGACGTCGCCGGATGAATTCTTGACGGAGGCGAGGGGATGTCGAAATTCGACTGTCGAAGAGACGAGGTCGGGAGAGAGGTGGGGGCGACAAGAGGAGAGCGAGCGTGAGGAGTAAAAGGGAAGGGAAGGGAAGAGAGGAAAAAGCGAGGGTGGTGTAAAGGAATGGAAGGGGACGCAAGAAGGAATGTGGATGGACGAGGCAGCGAAGGATGGGAGATTGATTGATTGATGGAAACACACGACAAGGGACGAGGGACGAGAGACCGGGGGGGTTGATCAGGACGGACGGGGGTGGCAGCATAAAGACCAAGAGAACCAAGAGAGCGAGAGTAGAGGGAGGAGTCCAGGAGGAGTGTGGTGAGGGCTCAGGTCGACCGTCAGGGAGGGAGGGGACGAGATGGGATGGGCCAGCATGGACCGGGCGGGTGGTGATGGGATGGCGGGTACGAAGTCCAAGGTATCTTATCGGCTATTTTACGTGTGAAGGACACTCGTGGGTAAGTACCTGATCCTCGTACTCCGTACACAGGTACCTTGGTCCAGGTTGATCGCGGTGCTGAAGGGGGGAGAAGGGACGGGAGCTGGCTGCTGGCTGCTGGCTGCTGGAATGGCAGAGGAACCAAGCCGGGCACTGCTGGGCTGTACTGCGCGAAGGCAATTAATATGTCCAGGCACGAACTCGAGGGTGTGCAGGGGGGTGTGCGGTACTTTCTTGCAGTGACCAAGGCAATAAAGTACTTGTCTTAGCTAAGACGTCCACAAGTAGTGCACCTCAGGTACGGGATAAGGTACGTTTGGCTCGATTTTATTTTTTCCTCTTCCCGTCGTCCCCAAGCGTCAACCCCCTTTTTTTGCAAGTTCCCTACCTTACCATGGCACCAACAGTCTACTTACTACCCTTCATGAGGCCCTGCAGGTGAGTCAAGGCCCAGCTGGCACAAGTGCACGACTTGCCTACCTACACTATTCGTAAGAATAATTACTGGTCCTTACTTTGTGCACACACGCAGGCGGCATGGCTTGACCTGTGTGGTACGACGACTGTGGTGCCTCTCCGGCCCGTCATCTTAATACTCTCACCACACCTGAAGACCGCCGTCGAGTACCTTTCCTATGCCAGCTAGCCCCAGCCGGTACGAGTTATGCGTATCCTTAGTGTACGAAGTATTGCATCCCCGTCAGCGCCCACGGCCGAGAGGGACAGCCGACGTCGCCCGACCATTACGCAACTCCCCTGGGCACAGCAAAGTCAGTCTGGGTCTTACTGACTCTGACTGGGTCCTGAGGGCTGACGGACACTTCTTTGGAGCCAAACGGATGCCATTTTGAGGATTGAGACCGACGAGTCTCGTAAAAGCCTCACCTACACTGACAATGCACATGGACGGCGGGTTGTCGTCCGAGAGGCATCTCTCCTCTTCGTTGCATACGCAGTATACACCAGCCAACCCTGAACAGAGCTGGGACGAAATTGTTGGATTGGGTTTGTGTAGAATGGACGATTGCCCAGAGACGAGATGAAAGACAAGGCGACTCGACCGTCACGGCTGAACTCTCGTCCCAGCCCAACAAACGGCTGGAACGCTGCACTTCTGCAGCATTGCGGCGTATGGCCTCTACCAATGGGTTTGTTTAGTCAAGGCGAGGATCCCCATTGTGAGCAAAGCGCGTAGACCCGGGATCTCCCTCCCCCCGAATCTTGCAGACGTGAACGTGATGTATTATTTTTGGCAAACAGACGGGCCGGTGGCCTCTCCGACTTTTAGACTCAAGAGACCGACTTGGACTGTGTTGTTGGACGGTGCCGCATCGTGCGCATCTGTTTCCCTATTTGATAGCACCCTGGACTCGATGTCGTCCAGAATAGTCAAGTGGAAGCCAAACTCTCGACTCTCACCGGAAAACGCTAACATTGACGACGGTGCATTGATGAGTGTTGACCATGTGTTGCCCCTGTCCGCCATCACTGCCGGACGTCCACGGTGGGACGGGTGGGAAAATCTCGCGAAATGACATTGCTGTTCTGGTCATGGTCTACCGTCGAGGTCCCTCTGTCATGGCGTGCTCGTCCGTGTGCCTGTTCTAGATTCTGGTGGTTGTTGGTCGGAACGGTCAGCTCTCAGGTCGACGGCCAGGGGAACGAGTCACTAGCCAGTACAAGGCTCCAACGTGCGGTACTCCGTACCTGATCACTGGCCAACGCCGGTAGTCCGCACACGATATTCGTACAGCACCAAGCTGGCAAGCAGCAGCCCGGGCACTCATGGTCCGCCTTATTGCAGTGCGCACAGTAATGGTCTGGAGAGCACACCATTCCGTAGGAGGGCGGGAAGGCAAGGTGGTGTGGAGAAAACGTAGGCTCACCGTTCCTGTGCTGTGCCGTGCCGTGCTGTGCTGTATGTACCGTACAAAGTCCACCGCAGCCGTTGCTGGCAAGCAAACTCGTCAGACGGTGGTTTGTTGCCCGCGTTGCATTGCTTGGAGCTGGCTGCTGGCTGAGCGGCACTGGAAGTTGAGGTGCGGACGATGTGCAAGATGGTGAGCAGCCGCTGCCCGCAGGAAATGGAGAGAGAGGGGCTTAGCTTTTTCGGGGCACGGGCTAAAAATGGGCAGAAATGGCTGCCGCTGGGTACGTACCGCACAGCTATAGATGATGTGAGGTGGGTCGGAAGTGGGGACCCAGGCCCTTGCCCGCCCTCGCCAATATTGGATACTTGCTTTTTGGGTGGTTACTTCTGCAAAGAAGCAAGTCCCTTTTCAAGGTCTTCCCATCGGCCTTGCTGTCAACTTTGGCCCTGTTCGTCCTCTGCCGGGGCTTGTTGCTCCTTCGAGGCCGTGCCAGGTGGGTCGGTTAACAGGGGTAAATCTGACAAGCGAGCGCAGATCATTGGCCAAATCTCGGTGATGCGACGCTACGGGCAATTTTGCGCCGTTCAACCCCTGCAGACCCTTGCCGGGGGAGGTCACTGGGCAAGACCGGGGGGCGCTCCTCCTTCCCAGATTCCTTCTCTAGGCTTTTCCTAAGTACCTTATTATCGAAGAAAGTTAATTCTTTCTAAGTTATAAGTATAAGAATATAGTTTTAATAAAATAATATAATACTTACTTAGTACTTAAATTAAAATACTTTTTTAAACTTATTATAAAAAAAAATAACTATATTATTAACTACTTATTATCGAGGTCTATAAGTAATACTATAATTTTAATTATAATAGTTTTATTTATAATAAATAAAAAATCTAATTATAAGTTTTTTAAAAACCTCTTTTTAAGAATTATAAAAGCTTTTAAATTAAGTTAAAATACTTATTAAAATATTAATAACTAAACTAACCTTATAATAATAACCTTAATAAAAAACTTAGTAAATAATATTAAAAACCTTACTAATATTAAGTATAATTTATAAAACGTAATAATATAACTATAAAATATTATTAATATATCTTATATTAAAAAGGGTATTATTAATATTAATAAAATAAATAGGGCCGTATTAATATAATACTTTAGCTTTTTTTTATAGCTCGAGGATAATTACTTTAAATAATATTAAAAGTTTATTAAAAAGCTTTTTTAAATACTTTAATATATTTATTACTATTTTTATAATAATAAAACTCTTAGTATTTATATATAAAAATAAGTTATTTATTTTTAAATAATAATATTAGCTTATTAATAAGTTATTAAAACTACGATTTTAACGATTTTTTAATAAGAGAGAAGGTAAAATAGAGGAAAGGATAGGTAAGAAAAGGGTTAAGGTTAAATAGTACAGAATTCGAGGGTAGGGTAGCGTCTATATATACTGCGGTAATCCTCTAGTAATGCAAAACGATAGAGTTAAATAGTGCTCTAGGCTTTTCCAGGTGGGCAGTCACGCAGTGGGCACTTTCTCTGGGCCACTGGCAACTTGCAAAGACTGGGCAGGTGCGTGGTCACTGGTGGGCAACTGCCAATGCGGGCTATTCCCTCCCTGGTCTCACCTTTCCAAGGCGCGTTCCCTTCCGTGGCCTTGCACAAACCTGCACCAATGCATGCACACATCGGCCCTCCAGCTGTCCAACGAGCACAAACACACCAGAGTCGGAGCTCAGAACCACCAACGGCGCAGATCCATCATCCCCCTCCAATTCTTTGCACAAACATCATGGATCCGTGGGGCTAGCTGACGAGATGGACAGTCCAGACCGAGTCCCGCCGTTGATCGTTGCCTTCGAGAGACCCGAGTATGATTGACGACACTTGGTAACCGTACGCATACTATGTACAGATGTGTCCTGGAAGAACCCCAACCCGGACGAAATGATAATCGGAGGCAATCTGCATTTACAACATCCTCTTGTGGAAATCCCTCGTCAACCTCCGCCCTGCAACGCTCCAACGCTAGCAGCCCACGTCTTGTGACTGCTCTAGGGTTGCAGGTGGTCCCCAGGTCCATGGCAACGCTGGACACACAGACAACTTGACAAGCGACGCTTTCGACCTGTCTCCTTGGCCGGGACTGTACGAATAAAGTCAAGAGTCGTCCAACTTGACAGTATTGCGGGGCGTAGAGATACGTTGCGTTGCTGCCGTTGCAACCCGGCATCACGCCTAAATTGATGTTTATGAGCATAATAGATTGCGCTTGCCGTGCTCGGGAGTTGATGTGCTCAGGCCGCCCGCCACCTGCAGTCAAGAATCAATAATGCTGTACAAAGTAGCCCTCACCAGAGTCACCACTCGCGTAGCGTCCAATACTCCGATTCGCATGGCACCATTCGACAATCTGGACCACTACCATCGTACAGAGAGTAAACTCGACTCTCTCATCGCTCTCGACGTTTCATCAGAGTCGAATGCCAATGATACAACCGCCATACCAGTGCGCCTCGATTGGCATCTCAACGGCGGGTCGACGACACGCGCTTTGTGTTCAGCACGCTTTCAAGTTCTAGCAAGCGGCGGTTGTTGGTCCTCGATCGGGCCATAGGACGAAGCGGTACAAAGCGGATACTCGATCACAGGCCCAATACCCGCTTATTCGAGGTACCGCTCGCCAGCAGGGCTACCGTTGGAGCGTCCTGATCTCGTCCCTTTCCCGTCGGCGCCATCCCTGCTCGACTCCCACCTTCCCCATGCGATAGTGTGGATGGCTGAGAACACGCGCCCAATGGGAGCCGACGCCGGTGTCGTTAGCTTGTCTCGAATGTCCCGTTGATGGACGTGGGCTTGAGCCTTTAATCATAACCGCACCAACGCACGCCACAGACGAGATTTGGAGCTCTAGCGAGACGACGATGCACAACGACCCAGGCTCTGGGAAAATCAATACCATCAACACTGAGTCTCGATTTCGTGCACAAGTCGAAAACCTTCTCGATGCCCATGTCTTCCTACAGATGGCACGAGGGCGCAGCTGCGCAGGGCTGGAGGAAACCTGCTAACTGGGTGTTATTGTCTCAGTACCGGCAAACCGGCCGCCGTCAATATCTCTGCGACTCGTCAAGTGGGGTTGGTCTCCGCCGATCAGCCAGTCACCCAAAGCTTTGATCAGAACGCACTGGGGGGCACGCAAGCCCAGCGAATGGTCTCGCCCTTTCTGATCAGCCATCGAGGATCACCCTGCAACGTCCATTGATGGTGTGTTTCTCCACGTGGGTAAAGAGCAAGCAAGAAAAAATCGAAGCTTTTTTGCTGTTTTATCCCTCTCTTTGGTTTTCAGTCTCTGCGGGTTCGCGCACCGGGATACATGCCGGGCCAGTTGGATTGTTTACAGTTACACGCGAGTTGCACACGCGACTCCTTGCTCAGGGCCGCAGGAACACTCAGACGTCAGCCTTGGGACAACTTAATCGGCACAAAAGAGCCCCATCATCTGTTCGAGACGGAGTACTGGCTTTCGAAGGGCTTCGATGGCCGTGACACGAATGCTCTATCCGACTCTGTGGAACTCAAGCCCGGGGCTCGGAATCTGGTGCCCAGGCCCATGTTCAGTTCTCGTCCTCCCCCAGTGTCGTCACAGGTGCAGGACAGTGATTGAATCCTGAAGCAATGCCATGAGAGGAGGGAATGAGGGTCGGTGGAACAGCGCTCCTGAATACACGAGAGATTGAGGCTGTGCAGCACTCGCATGCCTTGTCTCTCTGCTCTTCTGCCACAGCCATGTTCCGTTCCCATTCCTCGCCTATCCGCAAGTTGCCGTCCGGCCCGTCTCGTGTTGTGTCGCGTCACATCGTCGAGCTTCAAGCGGCGGTGTCATCAACGTGCCAGAGTGTCTGTTCCATCGGCACCCGTCACTCTAGAAGCCATTGGACGGGAGCCACAGCAAGCATCGAAATGAAGTCACATCAATTGCTGCTTCACTGGCGGCACGGTATCCGTACGCGGTACGCCTCTGAAGACTGAAGCTGCCGCTCCGGCCCCCGAGTCCCGGTGGCGGTTCCCGCTCCAACGGCATCGACTGTGTCTGCCAACTTCGCGTGCCACCATCGCTAGCGAGCGGACCGGGCTGAGTCAAAATAGCACCAAGACATGCGCTATCGTTGGTGCGTCAGGTACTAAAGGCACGGCGTGAGCGTGGCTCTCGAGCTAACTTGAACAGCTACGTGCCCTCATTCCCAATCTCCAGGGAAAGCTTCCAGTCCAAAAGTGACGAATTTCAGTTCCTGGCGGCGTCCAGGGAGACGCTATGACCACGGCATCAAGAGTTCGAGACCCCTTCGTCACCTCCAGCGTCTCGGCTATCCACGCAACGCTGTGTCTTGCTTCGAAATCGATTCGAAATCGCCTTCTCCTTTGTTTAGTGCGACCTGACGGCTGCTGCCCTCTCCCTCCCTCTACGGATAGGCTCCCGAGGCTTTGCCGCACCTGAGAATGTGGGCTACACACCCTGAAACCCTGGTAACATGCTGGACAGCTGGAAAATCGAATTTGGGACCCATTGCAGCATTTTCCAAGGTGTTTCAAGATGTGCTGGGGAGTGCTTGTCAGTCTCCCTCTGAAAAGTGAAAGGGGGGGGTTGTTTACCTGCCGATCATTCTATTGCCTGCAGCTTCATATTACCGACCAATGTCTTCCGTTCCAAGCAGCCAAATCTTCGCTGTATTTGCCATATTATGATCCTCACGGGTGTTTGGCCATGTCTCTGGGGTGTGAGCCGCAGCCGTTCGCAGAATTCACGGGAATCTGATGCAGCCCCAGGTAAGATTGACTTGACATGAGATCAGGACTAACATGACGACCCAGGCATTCTCACGTATCGAGTCTTCGTCTCGTATCTTTCTGCACGTGCTCCCGCCCGCGAAGCACCGCAGAGTCGACTCGCCGGTGATGCTGCACAGGTGTCATGTTTGAGATGTCGGGATGAACTCTGCGGCAGCCTCGTCCCCAACACTGGCAAAAAACCAACACGGCTCTAACTGTGTGTTTCAAAATGACAGCAGAGTACGATGATGGAATGTGATGGGAATGAGGGATTCCGTTGCAGGCTCATCCAGAGGGCTGCTGTGGCACCGGACGCTTCAGCCACGTGTTTCCCTGTCGCCTACGTGCGATGATTTCGTACTCGGCCAGGCCACTCTGATTTCTTCTGCGACGCTCTGTTCAGCCTGTGGCATCGAGGACTCCAGGGGTAGGGATCTCATCATTTCATAGTGTTCGTTGGGCACTCTACATCTTGCGACGCTCGTGTCAGGTATGGTATGCACTCTAAATTCGAGGCGCCAACGGATGCCATGGCCGATTCGTCAGAGAGCCGGCACCGAGAGGAAGGTGGCATACGCCGGAGCCTCCGGTAGGTGTGGAGATTGACGGAGCGGACGGCAGGTCGGCTCAGACCGTAGTGCCGGTACCTGCCCGGCCGAGTGTCATTTCAGCGACTACCGGAGCCTCATTGCCTTCACGTCGACAGAGAGTCAACGACTGCCATGTACCAACCGTGACAATGAGAACAGATACGCTTCTGACTGCTCACGGTGCTCTGTCGACGCCCTTTATGGCATTTCAGGTTTGTGGGCAAGCTGTGGTTATTGATGTATTGAGCAGTTCATCAGGATCATGTGACGCGTGACAGAAATACATGTCATTCGTCTCTCGATCATAAAAAAACCCACTGCATTCGATCATGGTGCACCGGCTTGATGCGAAGAAGGAGCAAACAATGTGCAGATCGGACGGTATTGGGAAGCATGAAGATATATACCTTGTCGGAGCTGCAGCCGCCGTGTCCAGCATCCATTACACGGCTTGCGAAAGCAGTCATTGGCGAGACTTCGCTGCCCTGGAAACTTCATCCGGCTTGCTTTCTGCAATGCATGGACTCTTTCTGTCTTCTCACCTTGACGACTGCTCGGGACCGGGTCTGCAGGAAGTGTTCCGCCGCGAGGCCGTGGAGCAGCTCGGGATCCTGTCAGCCTGGCCCTAAATTGGCGACGATGAATGGCGGGCTCTTCGCAAGCATAACCAGAACGGTATTGCGAAAGCCGCAAAGATGCATATGCATATGGCAGACGGATATGAGCAGTCACATTGTGTGCCCGCCGCCCAAGACCAAAGACCAAAGACCAAAGACCAAAGACCAAGGAGCATTTGCGTCGAGTTTGACGCCTCCACGAGAAAGCCCCAGCCGACGAAATCCACCTCGTCTTTTCTTTTTCTGCCGTTCGTGTCCCGCGACGTGCCTTTTCTCGCGGGATATGATGGAGGTGGTTGGCAGACGCAGTGGGGATCCGCTTCCTGTCATTTTCGACGTCCACCATCATTTTGTGACAGGGCTGGGTGGCGCCGTGGACTCCAACGACCGTATACAAACCGGCCGAGTGACCGAGAGACATGCTGACGAACAACGTCTTGAGTGCAGTTGGATGCCGACGACGAAATCTCAGGCTAGCTTTGGACGTTGACGAGTGGCGGCGGCGGCGGCAGCGAGTGACACCAGGTTGGTTGGACGAGCGTTGATCTGCGAATAGCACGATGGGATGGAGGGGCAACACAGGGCCGGAGGTGAGAACTGGGGCAAGCCGCAAAGCCGCAAAGCCGCAACCCCTCGTTCGCAGGCTCGCTGCAGGACGACGTATTAGCGCTTGGACGCTAGTCTGCCCGAGGGGCAATTCCCGCACGTCGCGATGCAGCCTTTTGACAATGGGGACGACGGGAGGTGGGCTTGACTGAAGCGGAGAAATCGGGGGGAGACGCAAGTTTCGCAATAGCAATACTGCGTAGGCGGCGGCGAGGACGGCGGACGGTGGTGATGATGACCAGTCAGAAGCGATGGAAAGCCGGCTGAACCATGGATCTCAGCGGCGGGATCAGCGCGAGCGGCCGAATCTCGACGGCTAGCTACGTTTGGGGCTTTTCCAGACGTGGGAGAGCCGGATTGACGGTATGTGCTTGGGCGGTGAGATGATGTGACTCGCATCTGAGGTACCTTGCTTGAAGGTGAGCAACACGGATAAGGTTGACATATCGACGCAAGCCACCGCGTGGGTGAACTGTTGACCTTTGGTATGATTGCCAGGGGTGCGTGGGAGAGTTGCGGTAGCCGTTGCCAACTTTTTGTGTGATTTTCTAATCATTATTTTGAGCATGTAGTGAAAGGTATCCCCAGTGCTGTGTTGCGCTGATACAAACACACAAAGCTTCTTGCAGGTACACGTGCACAAGCATTCAACCAGTCCTTGGCCGGGTACTTTACCTAGGTCAGGAACCTCGGAAAGGTTACGCGCAAGGTGAAGCGAGGACGACCGGGAGTTGTTGGACGCTCGAGGTTAAACTCTGGTGGTTGAGGGTGTTGAGGAACTGTCCGCTGCCGCCCGCGCCTACTGTTCTGACAGGCCGCCCTGACGTAAGGCACAGCCGGCTGTTTGGCGTGGTCGGCAAGGTACCTCTGCTCGCTGGGCGGGGACCTTTGGCTTCGGGATCGCCCATCACGGCGGACTCTGTTTCTTGGTAACGGTACCCAGGCGAGGAGTAGACTTTTCGGCGCGACACAGGCAAAGGGTTACAGCGTTTACAAGTCTCCGCAACCAAGAGCCCGGGTTCGTCATCGGGTCCCTTGGCTGGGGCGGCAAGTACCTTTTTTCCCTTCCATTTGGTTTGAGCACCTCACCGACGCAACCGCAATTCGAGGCGATGCGCGCGAGTCGACCTCCCCCCCGTTCCTCTGCTTGTCGCAATGCCTGGTTCGGTTCGATTCGATATCCCCTCGTTTCTCAGTACCGGTAAACCTAGGATGTAAGGTAGATAGATACATGACATAGATACATTGGGTGGCCCTTGCCTCACCGTAAGGTACCATAAGGTGCTTCTTCCCATCGCAAGGTGACGAAACTATGTAGAGCGCCAGGCTGCATTCTGCCCCCTCCAAACTACTGGACCATTGCCCTCTGCGATTTTACCCCTCCATCCTCTGTCAACCCCACTTGGATTCCCTCTACCTGCTTTTGCTGCCCTTGTCTTTAAAGCAGTAGCTTCCCTCAGCTTCCTTCTCTGCAATTCTTTCCCACCAACATCACCACCACAAACACACAATTCAATCACTTCACAAATCACAACCGACAAAATGGGTGTTACCAAGACGACTCACCAGTCCGGCTCCGGCGCCATCCCCAAGCCCGGCCAGACTGTCACCATTGAGTACACTGGCTTCCTCAAGGATACCTCCCAGCCCGACAACAAGGGCAAGAAGTGAGCAAACAACCCCTCCACCCCGCCCGTCTCTGTTCCCTCGCATGTTATGCTAACGAGTGCTCAATTGCCAGGTTCGACTCCTCGGTCGGCCGCGGCGACTTTGTCACCAGAATTGGTGTCGGCCAGGTCATCAAGGGTATGTCTGCACCGAGACGCTTACCTACGTCCTCCCTCCCTTCCTCTCCTCCTCGGGCTTCTTCGAATACATACACGATGCTGGTGATGCGGAACTGGATGCTTACTGACGCATGAATGCAGGCTGGGATGAGGGTGTCACCCAGATGAACGTCGGCGAGAAGGCTACCCTCGACATCACCAGGTAAGAAACATCTGTCCTACAGTCCTCAGTGGAATGGCTTTGTACAGCGTACGGCAAGACAATGAACTTGGCTAACGTGTGTTTTGCAGTGACTTCGCTTATGGCGAGCGGTAAGCAATACTCACCATCAACGGTGCCCAGGGCCATGCCAGGCATCTGTTGCTACCATGACGACCAATTGATGCTAATTATGTTCCCCAACAGCGGCTTCACCGGCCACATTCCCCCCAACGCCGACCTCATCTTGTAAGTTGACCCGGGAGATGACTGCTGTTTGTCAGCACCAAGGCGTCGTTGGCTGACCACATCCCATAGCGACGTTGAGCTCAAGAAGGTCCAGTAAAGCATCAAAGCTTTACTTCGTTTCGCGCAAGTGGTTAGCTGGAAAGATGATATGGAGAGGCCCACGCAGCCTATCTTAGAGGGTGGATAGTACAGTTCCCAGAATATGCTCGAGCCCAAATATACTCTCTTCAACTACCGCATAACAACGCTTTTACTGTCAATTAGTGTGAATGTTTCCGTGTATCTGCCGGATCGTGTGCGCGACAGAGTCTGGACGGTGCCCACGTCACACGGCATGTGGTGCTGGTGATACACGTACTCATGTGATCTTGATCCTGCTACATCGTTAATTCTTTCCAACGAATGCCCTGGTGTAACCGTGTATGAGTGCTCGTCAGTAACTATGAAGGAGCGCAGGTATAACGTCCATGGACTATGACATGTCTGCGCATGGTGTACTGTCTAAGTGAAAAGAAGATTTAGAACATGATATGCGCCATTCCACATGCGTTCCAGACTTTCCAGTCATAAAAAAAATCAAAATCATGATGGTAGACGTCTTGATTTTCATTCGAGGAATTCAACGAGTCTATACATGTTGGTGGACGTTACATTTGATTTTATTTGCTGTTTGAATCGATGTCTCAATTCCTGTCACTGACCAGTGTCAACATCTTTATGTTGCTAGAATCAACCTCCTTGGGCAATATAGTAGTATATTGTAGACACCAATATGACCCTTAAAAAGAAACAGCATGGAGAACCTCTGCGCTCGAAGACCTACTCAAACCAACGAACCAAGCTGGGACTCACGTTCAGGTCGACTTCAAGTGGTGATGGAACTCGGTAGATTCTCGGAGAAACTGGCACACAGTAATTTCTTACCGTGCGCAAAGGAGTCGCCTAATACGATACATGATGGCACACATAAAATCTACTGGAAGAAATGTATACACAGTACAGACGACACTGCCTCACCTTCGCTGAGGCCGTCTTAGGCTGTACCTTATTCCTTACTGCTGAATGCATTGAGGGGCAATGTTTAGAAATCGCCCAGTGGAGCTTCCCTCTACCTCACAGCGCCAGCCAGCCTGCATCGCCCGCCTTACGTGAGGTAACCCAGGCGCACCCCTGCCCCTCGTCGACACCTCCACATCCGGCTCCACGACCACCTTTACATCACCAGAAACGAGGCTGCTCTTTCTTCCTGCACAACCACATCAACTGCAACACGACGCTTCTTGCCTGGTGCATTTTTTCCCTTCACCTCTCCCACGAAACGCAGCGACACACTCTCTGCAACCTTGACGAACGACGAGAGAACCAACCGCGGTTCCACTATACGAACACACGAACACACACGTCTTTGTTTGGTGGGGTTGGAAGCTTCATCGTCCCACCCGCCGCCCGTGTTTCCCTCCACGTCATAGCAAACGACGTTCCGGTCCGGCATCGTCAAGCTGGGGAAGCGCAAACTCTCCAACGGGGAGACACCTGATCCCAATAAGAAAACCATGGCTGTACGTTGCCCTCGCCGTATCGCCGCCGTCTACATACCCCGCATCGTCCATGCATCGTCAACGCATCGCGCCGCTGACTTGGAGACTCCCTAGGATAAGAAGCTACCGGAGGTCGACCTGGTGACCCGCATGCAGGTCGACGACTCCGTTGTCGGAAACACCGAGATCGATGAGTCGCTCTACAGTCGCCAGCTCTATGTGCTGGGCCACGAGGCCATGAAGCGCATGGGCGCTTCCAACATCCTCATTGTCGGTCTCAAGGGCCTGGGTGTCGAGATCGCCAAGAACATTGCCCTTGCCGGCGTCAAGAGCCTCACACTCTACGACCCCGGTCTGGTCGCCCTCGCCGACCTGTCCTCACAGTTCTTCCTGCACCCCGAGGATGTGGGCAAGCCCAGAGACGAGGTCACCGCCCCGAGAGTCGCCGAGTTGAACGCATACACCCCCGTCAAGGTCCACCAGTCGTCAAGGTGAGTTAGGATGCCCTCCCGTGAGACTACGCTAACACACATAGCCTGGGCGAGAACCTCTCCCAGTTTGACAAGTACCAGGTCGTCGTCCTGACCAGCCTGCCGCTGAAGCTGCAAGCGCTGATTGGCGACTACTGCCACTCCAAGGGCATCTACGTCGTGGCCGCCGATACGTTTGGTCTTTTCGGTTCGATTTTCTGCGATTTCGGCGCCGACTTCACCGTCATCGACCCGACCGGCGAGGCACCCTTGACCGGCATCATTGCGGGCATCGACGAGGAGGGCCTGGTTTCGGCGCTCGACGAGACCCGCCACGGCCTCGAGGACGGCGACTATGTCACCTTTTCAGAAATCGAGGGCATGGAGAAGCTCAACGGAGGCGAGCCGCGAAAGATCACCGTCAAGGGCCCGTATACCTTTTCCATCGGCGACGTTTCCGGCCTCGGCCAGTATGTCCGCGGCGGCCTGTACCAGCAGGTCAAGATGCCCAAGAAGATCAACTTCAAGAGCTTCTCTGCCGCGCTCAAGGAGCCCGAATTCATGATTTCAGACTTTGCAAAGTTCGACCGCCCCCAGCAGCTTCACCTCGGGTTCCAGGCCCTGCACGCCTTTGTGGAGAGCCAGGGCCGTTTCCCGAACCCCCTGGACGACACGGATGCGACTGTGATTTTGCGCTCCGCCGAGGCGTTTGCCAAGGCAGAGGGCGTCGAGGTGGAGTTTGACGAGAAGCTCCTCAAGGAGCTCAGTTACCAGTCCCTTGGTGACCTGAATGCCATGGCTGCCCTGTTTGGCGGAATCGCGGCGCAGGAGATCCTCAAGGCCGTCTCGGGCAAGTTCCAGCCCATCCAGCAGTGGATGTACTTTGACTCGCTCGAGTCTCTGCCAACCAGCTCCGCTCGCACCGCCGAGCTGTGCAAGCCTCTCGGCACCCGCTACGACGGCCAGATTGTCGTCTTCGGCCGCGAGTACCAGGAGAAGATTGCCAACCTGCGGCAATTCCTCGTTGGTGCCGGCGCCATTGGCTGTGAGATGCTCAAGAACTGGGCCATGATTGGTCTCGGAACCGGTCCCAAGGGCCAGATCACCGTCACCGACATGGACTCTATCGAGAAGAGCAACCTGAACCGTCAGTTCC